CCCCAAAACCCCAAAACCCCAAAACCCCAAAACCCCAAAACCCCATTAATAATTCTTATAATTGATTTTATTTCTAGCTAAAATGGATTCTGACGATCAATCCAATGACCAGAGTGTCTCCCAGAATGAAGAAAAAGTTAATGTAACTTCTCCAAATGAGGAAGAGAAGGTAAATGATGCACAGAAAGAGAAAAATGATGATATTGATGTTAATGATGTCAATTCTAATAAAAAGGTGAATTTTGGTTTCCAGAAGTCTTCCTTTTGCACTATTAAATTCCTTAATGGAGTAGAATAACGTTTGTATAGAATACATTGGTAATCGACACTAGTAAGGATAAAGGCAAAAACCTTCAGGATAATGAAGGATATGACCACCCTCAAAGATTAGAAGTTGGCCATAAATGCAAAAAGGGATGGTATGAACTCAGGCCAAGAGGAAAACTCCCTGAGAAAAGGAGTTATCATTCAAGTGTTATTCATGCAGGATACCTCTATGTTTATGGAGGTGAAGACTCCAGAGAAGGCAAGTTTGACAACCTGTGGAGACTCAATCTTGATGAGTTTATTGAAATAAGCGAGAAGCTTGATGAATCTGAAGAAAATAAGGATCTTGGGCAAGACCAAACAGAAGAGCAGAAAGATGATAGCAGATTCAAATGGGAACTCGTCGAAACCTCCGGAGCCCAGCCAGGAGAACTCAGCCACCACCAATCTGTCCTCATCGGCTCTGAAATGTTCATCTTCGGTGGAATGAAGCCTGATGGCGAAAGCAACAAGAACTTGTACTGCTTGAACCTTGATTTCTTGGAATGGAAGATAATCCACCCCGACGAGGAGGCTGCTCCACAAGGTCGGGACGACCATAGCATCTGCCATTCTGATGACTGTTTGTTTGTATTTGGAGGGTTTGTGAAAGGAAAGAGAATGAATGACTTATACCAATATAGTATCGCAACCCAAAATTGGGAATTATTATCCGAGCATCACGAACTTGATGAATTCAGCTCAGAAGAATTAAAATCGAATTATCCAGTCCCAAGATGCGGTCAAGATATGATTTTTCACAACAATAAAATCTATATGTTTGGAGGTAGAAATGATTTCAATGATAAGCTTGATGATACTTGGGAGTTCGATATCTCATCTAAATCATGGAGTAAAATTGAATGAGAAGAATCCCCAATAGGTAGAAGCAGTCATGCATGTATCGAACATAACAATAAAATGATATTATTTGGTGGTATTGTGGATATAACAAAGGAAATCAATGAAATTGACCAATTCGACCTCAGCTCCAAATAAATGGAACTCCATCGACGATCAGTCTGAGCAAAGAAAGTACGCAGTCACCGCTTCTCCTCGTCCCAATCCTAAAAGAGAAAAGATGAATGAGACTGCACCAGTGAGAGGCGGCCAGAACGACTTGTCCAATGCTACTTTGAGAAGAGATGTTGGCAACAAGTCGATGAAGAAGTTGCACAAGAAGGAGGACATCACCAAGCCAGACGAGAAGGACCAGAACTTTCATTTGTTGAAGGACATTCCTAAATACAATAAGAAGAAGGCTAAGGACAACTTTAACCAAGGAGAATTTGATAACAATAATGAGAGACTGAAGACTCCTATAAGCAGTAATCTAGAAAACACATTCATCATCAAAAATGATAATGATAGGTTCGATCATTATTATGCCCACATGAGGAGAAAGAAAGGAGATACTTTCAAAAATAGTGCAGCTTTTGCTGGGCTTTTTAATCATTGTCTCAAGCCTTGTGATAGACCTACTGCAAGGGATGGACATACCATCGGAGTATATAAAGATAGATTGTATGTATTTGGAGGAGATAGACATCACATGCCATATAACGACACATTCAGTATTGAGCTTTAGTATAAAACAGCGTAATTCAATCTAAATATAAAATTAAGGGGTTTTGGGGTTTTGGGGTTTTGGGGTTTTGGGG